CCAGTATTTTTCCATTCTTTTAAGTCTTTCCAATCTTCAAAAAAGTCTTCTGCTGCCATATTATTCAGTTTCCTTGTCATCTTATCCATTTCAACCATAAAAAGTAGTTTTTTAATCCATTCTCCAATTCCAGGAACTTCCTCTTGTTTCCAACTTTGCGCATATGTCATTCTGGCAGTCACAATCATGTACCACATAAGCGTCCTTTTCGCCACATTGACCTCTTCCATTTTAAGTCCCAAAAGTAATATTTCTGGTTCTTTTTTAAATGTGCAGTTAACTATTTTTTCCATCTCTGCATGAATCTCACCCCAAAACTTTTTAGCTTTTTCACATGTCCACCACATATGGTAAAGCGAGCCTTCTACTTTTTTACATTTCCAACATTTACTCGACATATTTGTATTCATATTTGCAATCTTTTTTGGAGTCATATACCATCTATACATCATTTTATAACAGTTCTCTTTTAAATTATTACATGTCGATATTTTCAAGGCACTCTTCCATAAATATTCCCAAAATGACATTGGCATTTCCTTATTCATATTTATTGCCCATTTTACCATTTGCTCTTTAACTACCTCATCCTCAGTGTACCATTTTAACAATATTTTATACATTTTTGAAATAAGTTTCTTACCTCCCTCCAACCACTAATTCTCTATATCATTATATTTCTCTCTAAAGCCAAAGGTCTTTTTGTCTTTTTTAAACAAATCATTAATTTGTCTATATTGGAACCAACCATATTTAAACGCTAGATCTTCTTCCATTTTCATTTCATATGTCTTTCCCACAGGCTTCAACATGTCTTTATATTGTACCCAATCTTCTCCTTTATATATCGAAAAAGGCTTTATCACCTCTGCCGGTACAATCCAAAGAGGTCTCTGATCAGAAAAAAACCTTCTGCATTTAATCCATGTATCAAGAAGTACTCTCCTGATTTAATGATGCTTTAAAAGACCATCCATTTTCACCTTCTCGTAGCATAAATATGCATGCCATCCAAATTTGCATATTTCTAATGCCAACAATTTCTTATTGCTTAAAGTGGCCCACTGCTGCATGTATGAAGAGGGCTTTAATGCTCTTGAGTGTAAAGGCTTGGAAGGGAAAATACGACACCATGGTGCAAAAACATGATTCCAAACCATGGATCCTTATGGATTTTCAGAGGTTTTGCATTGGGCCACCCAAAACTTGACATCAAATCACATATCATGTACATGGAAAGAGCTTGCACAAAACCCCCCCACAGATTAACAGTTTCCTGGCAACACCACGGCACAAAAACATGGTTCCTTAGCATGGATCCTCAGGGTTTTTGCATTTGGTCACCCC